TTTTTTTTTCCTTCTGCTAAACCAATACTTGTTAGGATCGGCAAACACCAACTACAGTACGAAATCGGAACTTTAATACACAAAGTGAGTATTTCATCTGAATAAAGTGATAAAATGAAGATAAATAAAAAGCTAAGTCTTTGAGAACGAAAAATAAGGAAAGGCCTAAAATAAGCAAGCGAATAATAGGCTGAACTTATTGCTGAAATATGAATTAGATTATTGTCGATTAGTGCAGTCATATACAATAAGTTATTGAAACATTTCGTACATAACAACACTTAGTACTTCAATAGTCAGACCAGAACAGAAATTTTGCTACAGTAACTGGCAGTAATAATTGAACGCTCAAAAATAAGACTAATTTTCAAATAAACAACAAAGCACTTTTTATTTATTATCTTTTTAATTTTTTTTCTTTGCAACGTAAATTTTTTTTCATGTTTCAAGAAGCCAATATAAATTGATCGGCTTATTTATGTTACAAAGAATAAAAGAAAAGAAAAAAAAACGGTATGCAAACATTCAGTCTTCTCGCCAGTTCTGATCAACAAGTTCAAAAGTCAGATGATGTAGTTGACGACAAGTTTGAACTGTATAGTTTCTGTTGCAAACAGTGAAGCGTTAGTCATAGGTAAAAAAAATTAATGTAGACTGAAAATGAAATCAATTTTAACTTTAAAACATAAAAATTTTATTTTATTTTTTCTTCCGCCCTTCCGTAAAATTTTTGTGTTTTTATTTTACCACTTCAACAACTGCATTTGCTCCCGTAAATTGCTTTTGTTGCTTATTCACTGCTTTTTCATTTTTTTTTATTTCTCATTTTTTTCTTTTATTTTTTCGAAGAAAAAAATAAGAAAAAATTAAAAATGAAATTAAAAAAGAAGAAAAATAAAAAGCTGCACTGATTTGCTACAATCATTAAATTTGATTTATTGCTGTCAGATTGTCATCTGCGCTTTTTGTTGCAGCACTATATCTCGATAATAATTTTTGCTTTTTGTACGTACAGCAGTGTACTGTTGGCGTTTTTAACACTTCCGTTGTCGCTGGTTGAAAAACCACTGTTGTCAATCCATCCACACTCTTTTAAATTCCAAAATTTCTTCTCATACCATTTTCTGATTTAATTTCGACAGTCTTATCAAAATTATTTGGAAATTATTTGAAAATATCTGCCACAGATTCATTAAGCGAGCAGAGAACTTTTTAAAGTTCAAATATTTGTTGAGCAGCTCAGGAGGAAGTTCAAAAAAGAACAATCGTTTTTGCTATGATAACTGCTGTTAGACATTTAAACGGTTTTTCCCATCTGCGTAAGGCGATTTTTCACCGCCGGCCGACTGGTTGATCAACCGTAAACTGACAAGCAACGATATCAAACATTTGATCAGTCGTTGAAGAAAAACAGAAGTAAGAAATCAAAAAAGAGATTGTTTTTCTTCTGTTTCAAGAAAGACGTTTTTTGCTTGATCAGTTGGCTACTGGAGCAAATTATAGGTGAAAAAAATAAAGAATTATGGGGAAAAGTTTTTGCGTTGAATACAACTGTATATAAAAACTTTGCGAATGCAAGAAAATTGAAGGTGTAGAATTTGCTGAAACAGCAACAGCGGCAGTGGTTTGCCATTATCACTGATATTTGCAGGTAGTCTAAAAAACTACCTGTTCAGTATTATACAATTTTACTGAGAATCCTATTGAGCTTTTTAAAGAAAAAAAAAAAATTTAAATGACATTTTTACAACCTTCTTCTCATCCATTTCTTCAAAAAAGCAAAACACTTTTACTACTGTGCATAAATGATTGATAATAAAACATTTATAAGATAGCCTGCTTTTATTTTGCTCTTCAGTTTTCCTTCTCTTATGTCACTGTCATAGATTAAAAAACAAGACATTTAAAAGATGACAAAGAATGCAGATGTTAAAACAGAAAGGCTATATGTACACGGTTGTTTTGAAAACTTGTCAATTAATAATTCTTTTTTATTTCTGTTTTTTTGATTGTTCAACAGCATAAAATCATCAGTGAACTTAATCATCCTTATTTGGCAACAATTTTCAATAGTATTTTAGCTTCATAACTGTACAAAAATTTAAATCAAACATTCAAGAAATATAAAATTTTGCATTGAATAACAGTACCGCTAAAGCTAATGCACATAAAAATACCATATATATACGCATTTACACATTTATTGGAATTACAACGAATTAGCTGCTTTATGGGCAAAAACAATTTAGCAATAAAATAATCAAAAAACAAAAAAAAAAGTGAGCGAATAGATGTTCTTTGTCCAATAAGTAAAAAAGCAAAGAAAAAAAGTATATATAAAATAAATAGAAATAAGAATAAAAATCAAAATTAAAATAGAAATGAAAATTAAATAGGAAAGTAAAAACAAAAGC